TGGAAGGAACCCCCTTCATTTCACAGGAACTTTCAATCCTTGGAAGTATCTGTGTTGAAGACACAAATATCAACTGGCAAGATTAACGCAAAGAAAAGGCAGGCAACAAGTATCTATAAATTCCTGGAATTAATCGAAGGAAGCAATGGATAAGTCCATGGACCAGCTTCACATGGTCTGTATTGCATTTGATCATGTACAAGTCCTCAGATACAAAATATAAATATTAAGTGAAGGCTGATTGTCTGTGAATATTAATTAGCTTGATTTAATGTATCACAGTAGCCAGGGTTCAGGTGAAAAAAGCACTGTGCCTCTGTTCTGGGTGGTTTCCAAAGTTACTACATGAAGGTATTCCAAAGACCTCAATTTCTTTCAGTCATTAATGTAAGGGACATGAATTACAGTAATGGAGTTCATCTGCAAAGCAGAACAGAAGGCAAAATGAGTATGGCTGTAGTGTTTAAGTGAATGTGGTGTTTAACTAGAAAAACTGACCTCACCTGTAGAAGTTTTGTCCTGAATGAGAATATAAACCCCAGGATTCAGAACTCCTGCTCCACTTCCTGAACTTGAGCTGACTACCCTGTCCATTTCTCATGCTTTTTCCCGAGATGAAAAAAGGCATGAATAATTTGAAGGTTTTTTCAATTTTTAAGTCTGAGTTCTGCAAAACTTATCTGAAATGTTAACAGATATTACATTGTAGATGTCAATAAAAATGGAAGGAGAGGACAAAAGGTAAATCCGTAATGAATACAACATTAGTCACACTATTTCAAACTATAAGGGATAACAATTTGCAAGGCTGACTAAATACAGGGTTTGCTTTCCCCATATTCTAGTCTCCTGCCTTCTGAAATGGTTACTTAGGGGAAAAAAAGTGTATGTTCCCTTGCACTCCAAGGAGTCAGCAATGAAATATCAGGTTTAAGAGCCAATAAAGGAACACAAAAAAAAATCTAATGAGAATGTTTAATTGATTTAAAACTATAAAAACCCTCTCAATTTAGTTTGCAACTCAAAACAGAAGCATTCCTGTAGCACATAAGGAAAATATATCAGCAATAGGACTTGATACCACTAGAGGACAAGTGGCTTCAGTGCTTATTTTATGCAAACACCTTCAGCCACAATGTGGAGGAAAAAGCAAGACTATTTTTTTAAATTAGTCAGTCAGCTTTTAAGAATAAAATACTTTAAAAAGTCCTCCTTTAAACTTTATAAGATTTATTTAAATTACTTGTAAACACAAGCCACAATTCACGATGCCAGTATGTCCTTCACAACTCTTTCATTCCTCTTCATTCATTTTTAGATAATGATAATAGCAACAAACAAAATGAGCTGGCAGCATTTCCAGCTGAAAGTCTGGAAAGACGGAGGAATTTTCTCAAATTGCTTTAGAGAGGGGTCATAGTAAAACCAGGCACAAGATCCTCATAAACACATGCCATGTCTTTTTCCACTGTATTTAAGGACAACACCAACCAGCACAGACCCACACAAAGCACTTTAGTTTGAGGCAAGCTCAGGGAAGTTTTGCACATCCACAGGGTCAGGAAAAGATCTCTCTGTTCTTAGATGATAGAACTAACACATCACACAGCAAATCTAGCCACATTTGTCTGATGATGGACCTTGCTAATTAGGATCACATTAAGCCACCAGTTGGCCAACACATCAGCTTCAACTCTTCTCAGTTTATTAACACCACATTTCAATACTAAATCAAGTGGATTTTCAGTGAGAGCCAAACATCTGTGTGCACACATCCCTTCTGAGGAACACTCTCCCTCTGTGCTGGCAGCAATTCTCCTCTCTAACCTTTTGGACAGATACCTCCCACAGCATTTTGAGAGCTGCAGGCCTTGTCATATCTGTCCCATCCCAACAAAGTATCTGGGGTCACACATGATATCAACAGCCTCATCCAACGGGACTGCAAAACCCACTTTCCCATTTTAAAGAGGGCCCGAGGACCAGGAGCTGCTCTCCAGGTGGCTGCAAACCTTATGTCAAGGCCTGGCTCTCAGAAAGTAGAAAATCAATTTCTCAAAATTATTAATTTCTTAATATCATTCCATAAATACAGTCCAATATGAGATTTTCTGAGTACCAACTCCCTGCTGCCTCTTACCACAACCAAAAGCTTGCAAAACATTTTCATAGTGGAACAGGCAAAACCAAAACAATGCGTGAAACCAGAGTATGCAATTGCATTGTACCAGTGACTAAATTCTCCTCTGATACATTTGCATAGATGAGTAGGGTATGAGAAACATGCACAACTAAGAAGTCTTTAATCATACCGAAAGGGCTGCAGAAGAGAAGGGAATGGAGAAAACGAGAGCTGAGCAGTGCCAACCCCAGCTAGAGCAAATCCTGCCTGCCAGGAGGATCACTCACAGAACCAGCAGTGCATTTTCTGCTGATTACCAGACCTAGAAAACCCAAACATTTTTTTCTAGAGACGAGGCCATTGCTAGTGACAGCCCCTGTGATATGTATAAAGGAACTTCGCAAAGATTCTACAAGTCATTTGCCTGTTGACAATTTGAAGAAAAAATTAAAGAAGTGCATTTGTCTCCAGATATCCCACTAAAATTGTAAGCTGTGGAATAGCAGAATGAAAACTCCTCTAAAATTCAAGAGTAAACTCAAAAGCTATTAAAGCATTTAAACACATTATTCATGTTGAGTTTGGGGTCAAAGGAGAAGTCACCACGTGTACCACTGAGCACCTGAATCACAGCTAACACCCAAGTTCCTAAAATGTCTGTATAACATGTAGATTAGAGGGAAATATTGTCAATGTTTGGGCATATTTCATCCTGTTTTGACAAAAGGCAGCAGCCTAAGTTTTGGGTTTTTTGTTTCTTTATTTTCCATACAGGAATACAAGAAAACACCAATCTTTCTGATTCAGAGTGGCCCAATACACTGCAGTCAACTGTTGCTTGGTTTTCATAGCTGGATAATCTTTACCCCTTTTGATAGGAAAGTTTTAATGAAAAAGTTTTCATTGTGTGTCAGGTCAGTGACTGAACCAATCTATATTATTGTCACAGCCTCAAAAACAAGCCATATGGAAACAGAACTTACCACAGCATGTCTGATGCCTTTGTTACCCAAAACCACAAACTCTACACAAGCAAATTTCAGTTTATTGGATTCAATCCAGAAATCCACAGGCAGACTAACTTCCCATTGATTCCACTTATGAGGAGCTGCAGCTTTAGGTAGGACTGCTCCTCTTGATTAGTCAGACAGATTTAAGAGTTTAATTACCTCAGATTAATCCAGCACTGGAGTCTGGCTGAGGCTAATAAATCCTATTTAACAAAGATTATCTCCAAATATCTATTAAAGACTAACCTATCTTTTGGCCACAGAAGCTAATTTGTCAGTAAAAGCAGTTTTAAACAATAAGATCAGGAATTATATGTAGGCAACATTTTTTAAGAAAATCTTCTTTAAAAATTAACTCTTTCACCTTCAACATCCACCAGGCACATGGTCCAACACTGTCTAAACAACACTTGAAGATTCTAAGCAAATTATTCAATTCAGAAATGTTAAACTGTCAAGCCTGCCACCAGTCTCAGTGAGACTAGGTTTAACAAGCATCTATGTGTCTTTTTAAAACTGCTGTCAAAATATTTAATAACTCGGAACAGGTGAAAACCCTCGAGGTATATATTTTAATTTATAATATATATCTTATATATGCATACATAAGATAAATACATATTACTAGAATATGAATTTTATCTATGCATTCATATACAATTATTCCAGTCACAGTATCAGAGCGAGATATTTAGCTTAGCACAAAAAACTCCCATGTGTTTGTTCCCTTACATTTTCCATGCCAACAATTAAACTGCAGGGCTTTCTTCCATCTAGAAAATAATGAACCTTCCTCTCTTGAAAACAGAAACATCTGTTTTCACAAGACATCTGCTAAAGAAGCGAGAGCAGGATGTAAACTGCTTAGTCAAATAGTTTAAAGATAATGAAGAATTAATTAATTACAAGGAAAAAAACTCCAAGATTAAGATCTGCTTGTAATTAGCTGTACTCAAAATGCCAAAACTCTATGCTCAGAGAAATATAATTAATGAGTTCTTGAGAGCTCCTGATGATTCTCACCAATGCAGTGAGAAGAGGATGCTGCAATCTGCTCCAAATGTTTACTGGGCAGGACCTGCGGAGCTGGGCTCCCTTCTAGCAGCCAGGCATATCCTGGAACAGTGTGTTTTCATGCTGTGCCCAAGTCCCATTAGACTTGGCAGAGCCATAACCTATGGATTATGAGCCTTGCACGCAGGCAAAGGCAGCTTTACCAGCACAGCTTTACTTGGTCCAAGCACAACAGCATGAAAATATATTATGCTTTGGGGCACTTGTGGAGATTTCATTGATGAAGGATACTTTGGATCTGATCCTTCACAAGCCAGTAATTTATTATAAGGCTATGGAAGTCAAAGAAACATGCAATTTACATTTATTTAACAAAAAATTTAACAAAAAAGGGAAGATTTTGTCCAATTACTGTTCTTCCAGTGCTGGACAAAACTTGAAAAATAAGATAAAATACAAACATGTTTTTTCTGAAAGATTTAATGGTAATCAAACTACTTCCTTCACTTTGTATTCCTACATGCGATGGAGCTAAAAGTTTCTTTTAACCTGTTGGTTTTAAAAATTCTCTTCTTCCCACCTTCATTTCTTCTAAGCTTGGAAACAAAAGCTTTTTGCTGTTTTATTAACTTTTACCTTCCAGCAGGAGAACAAAAGAGAGATCCATGCAGCACCACTAGTCAGATTAGGAAGCTACAGGATGGCTCAGTCTTTTTGATAGTGGGGCCAGTTCCAAGGCATCTCCATGAGCTGACAGCAGAAAAGGGAATTTCCCAGCCCAGTCACGCAACGGGAACAGCACGAGGCAGGACTGAACTGCCACCTGCCCACTGTTAAACTGCCAGACTGGACACCAGGGAACACACTCTACCCTAGGGCCAGGGAACTCCTCTGAGAGGCAGTTTTCCCTCCCCAGCAGCACTGGCTTTTTGCTGCATGCCACAAAGTCATAGGGGACAGAAAATGGCACCAGGAACCATTTCCCCATTTCACACAGGAAACCATGCCAAGACCAATGCTCTACACAGCTGCTGGTGATCTGGGTGAGCAAAAGGGAACTCTGTCTCCTTTTTCCACTCTTCCTCTTTTATTTCTTTACCTACTGTAACATATCCTTCTACACCAGATGAGGGCAAGAAAGGCACTCTCTCCAGTTATCTACCTTGGCAGCTTACAAAAGAAATCAGCCTGCAGGCAGCACCAGACTTACAGCCTGCCAGTTGGACCATTCAGATACAGGCTATTTTATTCCATATTTAGAGGGCACTGTCAAGTGAGGTCATAAAATTCCTCAGTTTCCCTTCAATGTTTCTTTTCCATTAACTTAGTCAAAAATTCTAGATTTTTTAATTCCAATAGAAAAATATTGATGTGTAGAAACAAACTTCTACAGGAACTGATACTGTCAAAAATATTTCAATGAAAGCCAGATCCAAGCAACTAGCCAGCCCACCCACAGGCAAGCTCCCAAGGGGACAGTCTTCTTGGCAGACATCCCAAGCTCAGTTTTGCAAAGAAAAAATAGTTGGAAACATTGAAATTTCCACAGTGTGGATGTTCCAGTTCCCACACAGCTTCCATATTAGTTGGCTGGGTGAAAAAAAAAAGAAAAAAACAAACCAGAAAGAACTAAGTACCCATACTGTAGGCTCATCCTCTCAGGAAATCAAAACCAACAGTCAATAGCAGTCTTCACCATTTATCAGGACACATTGTGCCATCAGCTAAATTAAATGCAGGAGGAAAGACTCTACCACCACAATCACAAAGAAAGGAGCAGTAGAGAAGTGCTGATTCTCCAAGAGAAGGGAGGAAAAGGCTTATATCCACTCTTAACAGAGTGGAGAGAGCCTGCATGTAGTTTACATGGTTCTCCTTCCTTTGAGTTCAAGACTTAAGGAGAGAAAGCTTTACACCACCAGCTTTTACCCATCTCAACACACAAAATCAAAATGGTTAGAATTCTCACTTAATATTAGCATAAACGCTCTAGGCATGAATGATTCTCCCTGCAGTTTTCATACAGTGTTCATACATGAACACAATTGTTAAAACAAACTCCCTTCAGCTAGCAGTGAAAACAAATACAACCTAGATGAAAATATCAAGGATTATTACTATATACAAACAACAGCTGGCATAATGCGGGTATAAGCCACATTTCTCTTTAAATTAAAAGCTGAAATGTTCATCTAATTAAACTTTGTGAGAGAACTTAGAATTTTTTTCCCACTGAGTAACACAGGATAGGGATGCTTCCAAACTTTTAACATTTAAGCAAGTCCTGCTAACTCACCAAACTAGGTAAGAAAATGTAATTGCTTTGTAACCTTTCCCCAAAAATCTGCTTCACGAAGGACCAAGACTGAGAATGTTGCTCTCTACGTTTCACTTTCTGCACTGGCAGCTACCACACATATCACATCCATATGTACATACAAGGTCCTGACATACACATGTGCTTCTCTCCCCCGGCAGCTGCAGAAGTGTTCATCTTGGCTAGGCAAGCCCCCTCCAGAGATCTGAGCACTGCTCTCCTGCCCAAAGAGATGAGATCCAAAACTAAGGCCATGCTGATTTCAGGCATAATAGTCATTAGGTGCTCTGACTAGCCATGTTGAGTATATTAATTTCAACCACCCCAGCATTTCCAGCTGAAAGCCTTCAACAGGGATTCGGCCAAGAGGAAGGAGAGACGGTTGTTCCTCCATAGGAAGCTGGCTAGACTAAAAAGCGAAGCAAGGCAGGATAAGTCAGGAAGGCAGTTCTTTGAGAGGTAACAGAGTAATGGGACCTGCTCATTTTTTATTCAAAGGTTAGTGACATTTTTTGTTCTTATTGGACTGTTTTGTTTTCCTTCTGATTGTTCAAACTACCCCCTATGATGACTTTTGTTTGCCCAATCTTGAAAGCAAGACCCTGCTGCATATGGATTTTAAAATTTCCATCCCTCCTCAGTTTGGCCACAGATAATATAAATGTCTGTGCCTTCAAGATCCAGGTGAAATCTTAAGACCTACTCAGACCTACATGAGACAATAAAAGAAAATAGAGAGTTTTCTTAAATAGTAACAACAGCAGATGAATTAGTACAATTCTTACACTTCTACACATTTTCCTATAACCAGGACAAAGCAGTCTCATAGTACAGATGTCACAGCATTCTGTTACTTGAAGACTAAATTTGTGCTTGACAGGGTCTACGCATACACTGCTTTTTAGGAGTTATCAAATTAATAAACTCCAGCACTGAGGAAGAGACAGAAACCTCAGAAGTTTTCTTCTGAGATATTTAGTTATTGTAACAGTTTGATTTCTCTCTATTATTCTGGTGATCCAAAAAAGATTCATTCCACAATACATTAGATGGTTCAGGACTGCCTTATGTATCTCCAGTGCATGTACATTTTCAAGTAGAAAACATGAGTGGAAGACAAAGTGAATATCAATCTTCTGTACAGCTTATTGAGCAAAGGCCAAAAGTGCTTTTGTCATCATAATAACAGCCTGAGGGATTTTTTAAAATTTTGTTTGTGGTTTTAGGGATTTTGGTTTTGCTTTGGGGTTTTTTGGTTTTGTTTTGTTGTTGGTTGGTTTAGAGCAGTTTTTCAAGGAAAAAAAACAACTGTTTCCTCTTAGTTACTCTTGAAAGTCAAGCCTCTGCACTTCCACACCTCTTCGTAAACATTTTTAATTGAGCAATTTGTTATGCGCTGACAGGTATAAGGCTTCGGAAACAGGAATTTAATACTTTCTGATACTAACTTAATACTTTCTGGAATAAAAATTTCTGATTATATGTGAATACAAGGGCAGAAAGAAAGAGTGAGTATGGCCAAGAAAAAGGCTTGACTAGAATTTGACTGAAGCGTCTTGGCTACAGCCAGCGTAATAAACAGTCATACTGCAAAATTCACATTACAGAACTTCTTGTTTTCCCATGCCTCATGACACTCACCCTTTACCAGAATCATTTCACTCCTCTAGCCTCCAAAACCACTCTAAACCTATGTACTCTGCATATTTGTAGCACCTCTGGATAATACCCCTAGACTGCTGCCTCTGATTTGGCATCCAAAGAGCTCAATTTATCTATATATACAAACCCAGAACTATTTGTTTCAAATGCTGCTCATGCTAAAGAAAGTAAGTTACAAAGAAAAACCCATTTTGTCAGCACTGTCACTTTCCAAAGCCATATGACAGCGTGTTGCCATCTTCTTCAAAGTAGGGAAATATTTTTTCCGCCATCAAGTGAGTGTTATTTGATGAAAGAAAAGCTTTACTAGCTCACAGATAATGAAGCGTTTTTAGCAATGCCTCTCATCTACAGCCAAATGGAGGACAAGCAAAAGCAAATTGCTTCTTCAACTTACAAAAAAAAAAAAAAAAAAAAAGAATAATTTATTTTCATATGTTCTACTTCTATTATCATCCTTGGTATTTTCCATTCTCACGACAATGTGAACAGATATCATATTGTAACTTTCTAGCTTACTCAAAATCATTCCAGCAAAAAAGTACCATTTTCACTTCACATAAGTCCAAGAACCATCTTAATTTTTGGGCTCTGACAAAAGAACACATTGCCCCCTCTGTACCACAGCACTTCTCAAGTACTAACATCAGTGGCTTTGGTGAAATAGCTTGACAGTTCTAATACTGCTGCTTGATGAAAGTTGGGATGAAGTTTGCTACTAAACCCAAGACAGCAAGACTGAGCAAACATGACCTTTGAAACCATACCAAACTTTCCACCACTTCAAACATGAATTATACTGATCCAGCAGAGTGGGAGTTTCCTGTTCCAAACCTGTACCATACAAGATCAGGCAAGAATTCAAGGACATTGATCTTCAGTAACAGAACAGAGAAACATTACGACTTACAGGCTCCTAAGTCTGACTTCTATATTATATTTATGGAAACTGTAATAAAGAGGAAAAAATTATGAAGGAATGTGATATATTCTGGGATATTTAAAATAAGATCTAGAGTTTTTTCAAGGATACTTGAATATATATGCAAGGATCACACAGTAGATATATTTTTTAATTTCCAGAGTGGTTTTTTTGGTTTGATTTTTTTAACAAACTTTACACCTAATGCAATTGAACAAGACAGACTCTACTCTTCCAGAATGATTCTTGATAAAACACTGAGGATAAGCAATAGGTATAAATGGTCAGATGTCATAGCAGGTAAATTGTACAATATCCTTGTGGGAGCAATTGTGATTTTAATTTGTCAATATAGTAAGAATGAAGAGGAAAACAGTAAGGTTTGCACATTATAGATAAACATATTAATAATGCAAAGTACTTTCTAGAACTAAAGCTAACTGAGAAGACTGACAAGAAAAAACACACAATCCTGAGTCGCATGGTAGAGAAGTACAAATTAATGCACATACCCTTAATAATAGGCTCTAATTAAGCCATTCCTAACCACCAAGTAGAGCCTGGAGTCACTTTGATTACTTCCTCTAGTCCAGAAAGCACAGAAAATTGTGGCCTCATGAATCAGAGATATGAAACGTCTTTTCCTGTCAGAAGAGAGGCTATAAAAGGTAAGGACTCAATATGGAATACAGACAGCTCTTTACTGGATCATGTCACTAGTCTGTAAAAATCCTGTAGAGAAATTCATAGAATGCAAATAACTCGATTTCTCCTTGTTAAATGAGAACTGGGGGGCATTTATGCAATTATCACATACCTGGTTCAAAGCAAAAAGAAGAAAACACTTTTCAGACAACATAAACTGTGGAACTCACTGCCACAGAATGGTGGAAAAAGCCAAATACATAAATAGACTCAAAGGGGAGGCAAAAAAATCACAGAAAGTTGGTCTCTTTGTAGTTATGAAGTACAAAGAACCAGACAGGGTCTCTAAGTCACTAAATAGTTGCTAAGCAAAAATTGGTTGAAGCTGGGTGGGTGGGAACAGAAATGATTTTGTCATTCCTTAATTGCACAGAAAAGCCAGTCAGGAGAAGCACAGTAGATGGAGAAGCCCTGGCCCTGCATCATCACTCCCAAGCTGTGAACCACCATCTGTAAATCAGCAGAGCCAAGAGAGCTGTGCTCTGTTTCCACCACTGCCACAGGTAACTGGCACAGTTTTAATTTGTGTCACTGTCTACAAGTCTGATGAAATCCCCTATAAAATTCAAATTGCTTTTAAGTTTGCTAATGGGCTATAGAGATAAAATAGAAACACAGGTCTCACTTGTACACTATTCCCCTTTGGAGCTGATGGGTTGAGTCAATCTGAATGTCCCAGAATCCAGACACTGACCCTGGACTATTAATGGTTATGTGGGGGCATTACATAAATGAGAATAGATGTAGCATGCAGGGAAGCAGAGGAACAATTTCTAGGTGTATGAAAGCAGGGTTGGCTCTTAGGGCTCTCTTTTAATAGATTTATTTCAGGGCAACACTACCCGATCAGCATTAAAACTATTAGACACAAGAGAAAAATCCATTTATAACAGACTATAGACATCCAAGAAAATGTTACAGTCATAGCACATTGACTAGAAGTGTTTAACATGCTGTGTCTTTAACTCTGGTACACTCAGGACTGTTTTAAGTCATTGAACTTGGCCAATTGCTTCCCCTTTGTCTTACTTAAATAACATATAAGCAAAACCAAAGAACTGATATCATCAGTCAATTTCATTCAGGAATCCAATCTGTGTATTTTTCTTAATACTTCTTCATTACTAAAACAAAAATCTGAGGGTTATTCTCATTCAGTGTTTTTTTTTTTCTGACCAGTGTTCAAAAAAAAACAAAATCAGAAAAAAGACCTGGAATAAAATCACAGAATCACTAGCTTCAAAATCATTGAGTACAATCCAGGCCTTAACCCCTCAGCTAAACCATGGCACCGAGTGACACATCCAATCTTTTTCTAAACACAAAGGCATCAGCTGAGTGTACAAAGTTCATTCTGAAAAGCCTTTTATCAAAATATCCTTGGTCACCTGATGCTGTAAACACAATTATGTAGAAACCAGTGTCACAGCATATCAATTGTCACCATTATTTGGACATAATCAAAATACCTACTGTGTTCCACACTGACTGTTTTTCAAACCAAAGATGGCAATATGGCCAAGGCTCACAGTCCAAAAGCATGAGCCATGGGGAAGCAGAACAATATGTAAGGAGCAAGGAAACCAGCCTGGCTCATCCAGCACAGGGTGCGTGACTGCTTCTGCCACCAGACAGATTCTGTCAGAGAGGACAGCACTTTCCATCTGCAACTAAGAGGAATTTCACCCTCATTTCATCTGTATTGCTGTTTGAAAGGGCATTTGGAAAACAATCCACAGTACTGGAATGCTATATAGCCTTTAATCAGTTTCTGCTGCAACAACTGATTTTCTCTTACACAGCACCTCAGGACATCCTTCTCCATTGCTGTTTACCCTTTTTTTTAATACTGGTGGTGCCCTACACTGTTGCCAATTGTTTATTTTCCTCCTCCTTCACCATGGAGTTTTGTTTGGCCAAGTCTATCTCATTTTTCATGGAAGTCCTAGTGGGAGGCAGGAATGGCAAAGCCACAGCAATTAATGATAAACAGACTATTTACAGATTAGTCTGAATATTCCACTGATAGAAGAAAACAGGGCTCATTCTTAACCTCTGTAAAATCCAATAATATCTTTCCATCTCTTCCATGATTCCTCTGCTAGCATCTAGTGTGGAGAAGGTGTTTTGGTTTTGTTGGTTTTGGGGTTGAGGTTTTTTTAAATTTCCTTTTGTACACAAGAAATTTTGAAATCTGTGTCTTGCTTCTCTATTCCCTCATACTCATAAAATTCTCTTTTTGCTGTAAATGTCTGAGAAATTTAAGGCTCTTTCTGCCTATTATAGCATAGAAGAACTTATACCCATTTAACCTGAAAAGCACAGTGGAGATGAGAAAGCTTCCTGCATTCTCAGGGGTTTATCATGTGATTTGAGAGACAAAATAAATCAAGTCTTTTTTTTAATCTACTGGGGCTGTACCAACAGCAGCAAGCAATCATCCCCACAAGATATAAATGCAAGAAAGCAAATAGGACACTTCTTTACACCTGTGAAACACAGCACACAGATAAAAAGGATATCAACTCAGAGCAGCAGCATTTTACACAATTTTGAATGACAAAATTTTGAATGCCCAGTGAAAGGCAAGAAGGGGTAAGGCCCACAGAGGAATCATGGTTTGCATCAGGTCACACATCAAGTCAGTAGCAGAAGTGAGATGAGCTCCCTGCTCTTACCCTACACAAACTGACAGACCATGCTCCCTTGTGGCTTCCCCCTTCCAGGACCTTCCTGAAGCTTTTCCCCTGCACAAATGAAAAGGAAAAAACCAAAAAAAAAAGTAAGAAATCTGCTGTTAAGAAACAGATGGAGGTATTTTTGTGATCATCAGCCCAGTACCTGGAGCCTTGTTTACACTGTAACTTTTCAGTCCTCAAAGGAAATAAAACAAGCATTTGTGTCTTTAGAAATACCTATTCACTTCCTGGGACATATGTTACACAGCACAGGAACTGAGAAACGCTTTTGATCATAACCTTGGGAGCTGCAAAGCAGAAAGTAGTGTAAGGTTTATGCTAGTAAGACTTCTCTCCTGACACAACAGCTACAAGAATTCAGCATGTACTCATTGGGAAAGCCATGAAGGAAGAAAAGTGCATAAGCAGATGACCCCTGTAACTTTTATTCCGTTATACAATGTCTAGTTTTCACTTAGCAGACGCTGCAACATAAAGAGAAAACTCATTTTCTAAATATCCCATCGTGAAAAGGTATTATACTTACAATTCAAAGACTTCAGTTAATCTAGGATAAAAGAGCAAGTTAACAAGCATAACAGCCACTCCACATGCTAGATACAAGCCTTCCTAATTTGGTTATTTGTATTCCTAAACTGCTTAAAGACACAGGCAGAAACTCGTAAGAAGGGGCTGTTCTCAGTTTATTCGTACCTCTCCTGTGCCATCTACTGCTCACAAGTTGTTACTGACACTGTAATACTTGAAAAATGCTGATTACCTGGCATCCCTGCTCATGACAAGATGGACAAGAGAAGATAAACTTTAAATTAGAACTTCAGTGAGCTAAGGACTAAAACCAAAGAAAAATATACACAAATAAATGAAAAATAAAATTTTTAAAAAAGGTTTACACCCCAGTGTGGAAATCCAGCACATAGTTGTGGAAACACAATGTTAAAAAAAACCCAACATTGTCTCCTAGCAGTCAGTGCAATTATAATACAAGCAGCACACAAATTCCTGTCACCGCAACTGGGTAAGGAAAGACAGGGGAGTCAAGCCAAAGAATTTTCTCATAAATAACTCTTCACGTCTGCCCATTTTCTTGTCTGGCCCCTGTATGGTATCTTGTCAGAAGAGCCACTAATAACACAGCCTAACAACAACACTAATAACAGCAATAGCTATTTCCTGCTTCTCCCAACAGTTTCAACCATTTTCCTGCTGTAGACTCCTCATCTTCTGAGCTGAAAGCACAGACTCTACACCTGGACAGCACTCCCCTTCGTCAGGGCAGATGTGGGTTTAGGCTTGATGCTGCAGAGATTGGTGCTGCCAGTTTTGTGGCTGAAAGAGCTGAACCCAAAAAATGGGCCTATAACTGTGTTCTACATGCCAGACTTGCTGGCAAATCAAGCTCCTCTTTCTGGCAGGTCTGGCATTGGTCAAGTACGCCACAAAACCATTTGTCTGCAGGGTGATGAAAGGGAACTAGAAGGTTCTTTCAAAAAGTATAAAAGTGGGGAGGAAATACTTGGGAAGCTAACCGCCTCCGGAATAAAATCCAAAAACCTGTTGATGTTCAAAAGCTATTGGTGAATTCTGGAAGAGAAAAGGAAGAATTCACCAGCTGGGAACAGATACACAGGTAACACGCTGGCAAATCCTCAGTGTCCCTGTAAAAAGCGCACAGTTTGAATTCTCACTTGAGGGGAATTCTGTTTTACCCTGGATAGGAAAATTGTAGTTGAAGGAGTCCATGTATTCTTCTCTGTGGGCCCTAAACTTGAACACAGAAATGGTGCATGCAGATTCCAAACTACAGTCCCACAAAGGCACTGAATTTATGTACCAAATCAGGCAAACCAACAAATTTTTATTGATTCAAACACAACAGCTTCCTCTAATTCAAGTCTTAGCAAAAGAAAAAAAATAATTATTTTCCAACTAGAAGTCCAGGGAGGAAATAAACCAACTTTTTAATAGAAAACTTTTAACCTTAAGGAATTTTTTTTTTTAATGAAGTAAACCTGTCTCATCCCTATAACTGGATTTACATGCAAAAATGTGCAATTTGAAAAATTTTAAGGACAAATATGAAATATAGTCAGGAAAATAGATGGCATACAGAATTGGATAAAAACTTCTGTTGTACAAAAGAACAGAGAATTTGCAAGAGAAGTAACAAACAAGAAGTCACACGTCAAGATCACCTATGCCTGATGGTGAGTGTGTCAACAGCTAGCAATCATTGTTGCTCCAAATTGCCCAGTGCTGCCAGGCTAGACTCAGAAACACAGAGGAGATCAAGAAAATGGGAGATAACAGCAGAATTACTATAAAAAAACATTCACTAGATGAACTATTTTAGCCTGTATAGGCAAGAAAGTATTTCTTTCAAAGCAATATCCTACTGTCCTACTTCACACCACTATTACATAGCCAACCCAACAAACAATCTTGATTGTGAAGGTCTTAAGTGCAACCTCATCTCAAGAATATGAGAATTTAATGAACCAATCATAGTGGCAGCAGCCCATTTTCCAAAAGTGTTTCTATGATGAGCTCCTGCTGAGCAACAACAAAATAATCCAAGGGTGGAACTCTTTCACCACAGCAAAATTCCTCAAGATCAATTTGAACTATGGCTGTTGTCATCTTAGCTAGAGAAGACACTTTTTCACAATTGAAATGTTAGATTTCCATGGCAGAAGTAATATTTCTAACAAAATCTGATGTGACAGTATTTCTCCAGTTTCCCAAAACGTAGAGGGTATTAGTGGGGGTTTTGCTTCAGAATACCTGCACCCAGCTCCAGACTC